GTTGGGGAACGTAGTAATTTCAAAAACATTCCTACGCACATGCAAGATCATGGTGATGCATAGCAACGAGAGGGGGGGAGTGTGATCTACATACCTAGTAGATCTACAACGGAAGCGTTTGGTTGATGTAGTCGTACGTCTTCACGGCCCGACCGATCAAGCACCGAAACTACGGCACCTCCGAGTTTTCGCACACGTTCAGCTCGATGACGATCCCCGGACTCCGATCCAGCAAAGTGTCGGGGAAGAGTTCCGTCAGCACGACGGCGTGGTGACGATCTTGATGTACTACTGCAGCAGGGCTTCGCCTAAACTCCGCTACAATATTATCGAGGACTATGGTGGCTGGGGGCGCCGCACACGGCTAAGGAAAAGATCACGTGGATCAACTTGTGTCTCTGGGGTGCCCCTGCCTCCGTATATAAAGGACTAAAGGGGGGAGGCTGGCCGGCCAAGGAGGGCGCGCCAGGAGAGTCCTACTCCCTCTGGGAGTAGGATTCCCCCCCCCCATTCCTAGTTGGAATAGGATTCGCGGAGGGGGGAAAAGAGAGAGAGGGGCCGGCCCCCTCTCCTTGTCCTATTCGGACCAAGGGAGGGGAGGGGCGCGCGGCCCATGAGAGGCTGCCTCTTCTCTTTTTCACTAAGGCCCATCATGGCCCATATAGCTCCCGGGGGGTTCCGGTAACCTTCCGGTACTCCGGTAAAATCCCGATTTCACCCGGAACACTTCCGATATCCAAACATAGGCTTCCAATATATCAATCTTTATGTCTCAACCATTTCGAGACTCCTCGTCATGTCCGTGATCACATCCGGGACTCTGAACAACCTTCGGTACATCAAAATGCATAAACTCATAATATAACTGTCATCGTAACCTTAAGCGTGCGGACCCTACGGGTTCGAGAACAATGTAGACATGACCGAGACACGTCTCCGGTCAATAACCAATAGCGGGACCTGGATGCCCATATTGGCTCCTACATATTCTACGAAGATCTTTATCGGTCAGACCGCATAACAACATACGTCGCTCCCTTTGTCATCGGTATGTTACTTGCCCGAGATTCGATCGTCGGTATTCCAATACCTAGTTCAATCTCGTTGGTGGCAAGTCTCTTTACTCGTTCTGTAATACATCATCCTGTAACTAACTCATTAGTTGCAATGCTTGCAAGGCTTAAGTGATGTGCATTATCGAGAGGGCCCAGAGATACCTCTCCGACAATCGGAGTGACAAAACCTAATCTCGAAATACGCCAACCCAACATGTACCTTTGGAGACACCTGTAGTACTCCTTTATAATCACCCAGTTACGTTGTGACGTTTGGTAGCACCCAAAGTGTTCCTCCGGTAAACGGGAGTTGCATAATCTCATAGTTATAGGAACATGTATAAGTCATGAAGAAAGCAATAGCAACATACTAAACGATCGGGTGCTAAGCTAATGGAATGGGTCATGTCAATCAGATCATTCACTTAATGATGTGATCCCGTTAATCAAATAACAACTCATTGTTCATGGTTAGGAAACATAACCATCTTTGATTAACGAGCTAGTCAAGTAGAGGCATACTAGTGACACTTTGTTTGTCTATGTATTCACACATGTATTATGTTTCCGGTTAATACAATTTTAGCATGAATAATAAACATTTATCATGATATAAGGAAATAAATAATAACTTTATTATTGCCTCTAGGGCATATTTCCTTCACATGAGACCGGTAAAATAGAAAAACTATCAAGGGCAAACATTTGCCTTACACATGGTCCACTTGAGCTAGATGATGACAATCTTGACTCCCTCAAGTTGGACTACCTTTCTTGATTGTGTTGACTCAATGAAGACTAGTTGATTGCTCCCCCATACTCCACTATGGGTGAGCCACTCTTCCGCACATCTTCACAAGTCCATTATCACCACAAAGGACGGCAAGCTTCAAGCATTTGATCTCTTCATGATGCTCCACTTGAACTTGCATACCGCAACCTAACCCCACAAAGAACTCTCACGAAGACCATGGGTTAGTACACAAAGCGTAATTGACAATTCTTACCATACCATGGGATCACTTGATCCCTCTCGGTACATCTTCTGCGCTTTGTGAGTTGATCAACTTGATTCACTCTTGACTTAGTCTTGATCATCCTTGAACCTTTCCAATTCTCTTCATTTGAATGATGTCTTGAAGGTAGACATGAATGATCACACAATCTTCTTCTTCAAGACATGCTTGCAATAAGCTCAACTCTCACATGACCAATCTTTGGATAATTCCTTGAATAACACCTTGGTCGACACAAACTCTCCTTGAAACCAACACATGTACTCCAAGAAAAGCCTATGGACAAAACCTTCAAATATAACTCAAGGCAACCATTAGTCCATAGAGATTGTCATCAATTACCAAAACCAAACATGGGGGCACCGCATGTTCTTTCAGCGACTCCAGCCGGGATGGGCGGGATGGTGGTGCAGTTGTTGGATAGCAGGAAGCGGCACGACAGATAGGGGGCGTTGGGCACAGAGTTGGGGACGACGCCGGAGATGCTCATGGCACCACCAAAGCACGGGACGTCGCCAACACCTAAGGTGTGTTTGGTAGGGTGCATGGAGGGTGCATGAGGGCAAAAATTCCCAATCCGACCCACTTTTGCTTGTTTGGTAGGGTGCATGGGCTCATCTGAGCGATGCTCATCTGATGCATAAAAGTGTCCTCAGCCATGCTCATCTCATGCACCCCAGACAGGGTGCATCGAGGCAGCTATGCTGGCCCTGACACTCGTCCCCACCGACCAGACCACGTCCAGATATGTTTATTTTTTCAAAAAGAATCAGAATTTCAAAATTTGTTTAAATTTTTGAAAAACCTTAGAATTTCAGAAAAAATGAAAAGTTTGAATATCAAAATTGTTTAAATTTTTTAAAAAATCATAATTTCAAAATTTGTTTGAATTTTCAATAAATATTTGAAATTTCAATTTTTCTAAAAAAATCGTAAATGTTCAGAATTTCAAAAGGAAATCAAAATTTGTTTGAATTTTGAAAAAGTAGAATTTTTTTTTATAAAATTTTCAAATTTTGTTTAAATTTTCAAAAAAACTCGTAATTTCAAATATGTTCAAATTAAAAAAAGAATTTCAAAATTTATTTTAATTTTCCAAAAAAGTTTAGAATATCAAATATTATTTAAATTTTCAAAATATGTTTAAATTTGTGTTGAGATTTTTTCAATTTTGTTCATCATTCAAAAAATATATTCAGAATTCGAAATTGTTCAGCATGTCTAAACACATGCAGGCTACCAAACAAAATCTCAGCTCAGCATGTCTCAACGCATACATCACTGCCAAACAACAGCAACTGCATGGACTCAGCATGTCTACACTCAGCATGTATGACATGAGAACAACTAGGCTAGGTCCATACATGCTACCAAACACACCCCTAGTGCTGCACGGGTGAACGTACGTACGTGTCGTGCGCATGCGTTCAATTTGTCAAATTAGATGTACGTATACGTGTTCAGAGCATCTCTAACTAACCGCGGACACGGACGGGAGGAAGAAGAAGCCGTGGGAAAAAATATAAACGAATATTCGATTTTACAATTTAAGTTCGAGGGGTTTATTCGGCCGCAGCTTAAATCAATCTTTAAAATGCATTTTTCGCGAACTGAAAAACGCGTTTTCAGTTCCGCCATTTTAAAGGATCTGCTGCTAGAGATGGGCTCTAGAGAAGAATGAACAAAGATACCGTGATTAAGCATGACAATAGGGCATGGAAACTGTGTGACTGCAGAAACCTCCGCCTGCGTTCGAACTGACAAAAAGTAGCAAAGCTCTCTCCACTGCGCAACAGGTGGTGTGCGTCGTCTTGGTTCAGCGTCCCGGCGCGGACACGCTCTGTAGCCGCGGCAAAGGCTGCGTGGGGAGACCATGAACGCGAGGACCACGAGGTGGGGGCTGTGTTTTGGTTTTCGGTTTGAGCTTTTTTTCGCCCTAGGCCGAGATGGCCGAATTTCGGCCATTTTCAAAATTTTTGGCTGAAATTTGACCAAATTTTGACTGCAATTTGACTTAAATTTAACCAAAATTTACCAAATTTGAGCAATTTCGGCCTACATATACTTTTGGCCTCAAGCCGAGATGGCCAAAATTCGGCCGAAATCCACATTTTGCGGCCGAAAATCAGAACACAGGGTGGGGGTGGAGGTGGAGGAGGAGCTGCGGCGGAGGAGGCGGATGTTGGACATCGGCGTCGTGAAGGATCGGCGGAGGCGGAGGCGGAACAACGGGGCGAGGAATGATACCGGGGACCGGAATTGCTGCTGCATGGAAACAATGATGCCGGGGCGCTCCCTCAACGGCTTCCTCGCCGCCCTCGCACGTGCTACGTCCTCTGCCGCCCCCGCCTGCATCAGAGATGGTCCTGTCCTCGTCGTCGCCCTCTTCAACCGCTTGTGCCGAGAACAAGCCGTCGTGCGGGTGGCGCCTCTCACAGTCCACACCTACGGCATCCTCATGGACTGCTGCTGCCGCACGTCTCGCCCGGACCTAGGTCTTGCCTTCTTCGGTCGCCACCTCAGGACAGGCCTCAAGACAAACGAGATCACCGCCACCACCTTCCTCAAGTGCCTCTGCTACGCAAAACGGACGGATGAGGCTGTGAACGTGCTGCTTCATAGGATGCCCGAGCTCGGCTGTGTGCCTGACGCCTTCGCATACTCCACTGTTCTGAAGAGCTTATGCGACAATAGCATGAGTCAGCGGGGGCTCGACCTGCTCCATATGATGGCGAAAGAAGGAGGTGGCTGCTCCCCCAACGTGGTGGCGTATAGCACCGTCATCCATGGCTTCTTTAAGGAAGGTGAAACAGGCAAGGCATGCAATCTATTCCATGAAATGACACATCAAGGGATTGTGCCCAATGTGATGACATATAACTTGATTATTGCTGCGTTGTGCAAGGCCAGAGCAATGGACAAGGCAGAGCTAGTGCTTCAGCAGATGGTTAACAAAGGTGTTCAACCCAATAATGTGACATATAATTGCATGATCCATGGATATTCCACATCTGGGTGGTGGAAAGAGGTTGTTAAATTGTTTAGAGAAATGAAAAGCCGGGGCCTTATACCAGATATTTTTACTTGCAACTCCTTAATGACTTACCTTTGTAAGCATGGAAGAAGCAAAGAAGCTGCAGAATTTTTTGACGCCGTGACTGCCAAAGGCCACAGAGATGTCATCTCCTACTGTATTTTGCTTCATGGGTATGCCAATGAAGGATGCTTTGCTGATATGATTGATCTCTTTAATTCAATGCAAAGAAACGGTATTTCTGCCAACTGCCATGTTTTCAACATATTAATTAATGGATATGCTAAACGTGGAATGACGGAAGAAGCTATGCTGATATTTACAGAAATGTGGGAAAAAGGGGTGAGTCCAGATGTAGTCACCTATTCCATAGTAATAGCCGCACTTTCCAGAATGGGGAGGTTGACCGACGCTATGGAAAAATTTAATCAGATGATTGCCATGGGAATTCAGCCAAACACAGCCGTTTATCACTCCCTAATTCAGGGTTTTTGCATAGACGGTGATTTGGTTAAAGCCAAGCAGCTGGTTTCTGAAATGATGAACAGAGGTATTCCTCGTCCAAACATTGTGTTCTTCAATTCAGTAATAAACAGTCTGTGCAAAGAAGGAAGGGTCATGGATGCACATGATGTCTTAGACTTGGTTGTAGGCATAGGTGAGAGGCCTAATGTCATTACATTTAGTTCACTGATTGACGGATATTGCTTAGTCGGGAACATGGATAAAGCATTCAAAATACTTGATGTCATGGAATCAGTTGGTGTTGAGCCTAATGTTGTTACTTATAGTGCACTTCTTGATGGCTATTCTAAAAACAGAAGGATTGATGATGCTCTGACTTTGTTTAGAGAAATGCCGCGTAAGAGAATTAAACCTGACACTGTTACATGTGGCATCATGTTGGATGGGTTGTTTCGTGCTGGGAGAACTGTCGCTGCAATGGAAATGTTCCATGAGATGACTGAAAGTGGAACAACAGTGGACATTTTCATATACAATATAATACTTGGAGGTCTTTGTAGAAATAATTGTGTAGATGAAGCGATTGCACTGTTCCAGAAATTGCGAGCAATGAATGTGAAGTTCAATATTGAAATACTCAATACCATGATTAATGCAATGTACAAGGTTCAAAGAAAGGAAGAAGCAAAGGAATTGTTTGCTACAATATCAGCCAATGGGTTGGTGCCCAATGAATCTACTTATGCAGTAATGATAAGAAATCTTCTGAAAGACGGAGCAGTGGAAGATGCTGACAATATGTTTTCATCAATGGACAACAGTGGTATCGTTCCCAGTTCCCGTCTTATAAATGATATCATCAGAATGTTGTTGGAAAAAGGTGAGATAGCCAAGGCTGGAAATTATTTGTCTAAAGTTGATGGGAAGAGTATCTCACTTGAAGCTTCAACTACCTCATTGATGTTGTCTCTCTTTTCAAGGAAAGGGAAACACCAGGAGGATATTAAGTTGCTCCCTGCAAAGTATCAAATTTTTGATGGATTTAGTTGACTAGTTGATATGCTGCATATGAGACTAACTCCTTGGAAAGCACAATTATGTTATTGCTTGCAAAAGCTCTCCTGCCAGAACAACTGTATAAGAATCCAAACTGCCTACTTGTATAGTTGACTTCATTTTCCGGTGTGTCTGGATCACATGAAAGTGACATGTCTATGAATCTTTTAATCTTGGATGGGCGACGAAAGGTAGACAATTAGTCTAACGTGACTGGTTACAATTTTAGGGGTAATTACCTCGGATGGCGATTGGGAAAGGTACACATTCTTTCTCTACTAGCCACCTATAATTTTGTAATCTCTGTAAAACAGTCCTTTCCTTACTCATTAAGGAAAACTGTTTATATGGCCTGTGGAAGGATGCAATCGTAAGATCAGTATCAAGGGTAATGTGCAGAGACATGTTCAAAATTCATGAGCATGGCCCTCGAAGTAGAAGCAAGAAAGAGTTCATCTATACAGAGGTTAACCGTAGGCAGACTTACAAATATGCTTCCAAGTTACGGAAACATGAGGAATCACATGACGAGAAAATGATTTTCTATAAAATTTCCATAGTTATTTTTCATAATTGTAATAAGAATTGCCTAGCAGTCTCAATCTTGTAAGTTGATGTTTCTAATCTTATTATGCAGCCAAGTTGGATACACTGATGTTACTGCTACGAACCCAGCTGCATGAAGATTTTACTAATGTGGAGTGCCTCAAGGCCCATAACCTCTGTGTGGTGTCTATGGCACTAAAGAACCAAAGAAAAACTTTAAGCGTCATCAGCGAATGCATGAAGGTTCATTTGTCACTGAGAAGATTAAATGCCACTTTGCGGACTGCAGGTGCTCATTTTGAAAGGTGTTATTGACTTTGAATTTCAGGAATCCAATTTGGATAAGCATATCAATTTAAGGCAGTTCATGGGCAGAGTAGGCCCGCCCTTCGTCTGTGGATTCTCTGGGTTTGCGATTTTGTAGAGGCTGGTGAGCATCCAAGCAGGCACATAAGGAAGCCCATTTCCATCGATACTTTGATGCGGAAGAGTATCTGTCAGGTTGATTTGTCCTTAACTGGAAGGAATGGAACAATGCTACGCTTTGGTTGATTGAGCCTGCTTCTGTAGTACGAGATATCTGTAGTGTTATTATGCATTTGTTGTGCAGCTAAAGGAAATAGATACACAAGAACAGTATGTAGTGTTTGTCATCTAAGATAGCAATTGGTAAGCAAGTCCTTTCATTCTGTTATCAAATGAACCCTCCAGCTGTATGAGATGCGAGTCAGTGAAGGTACTATTTCCATTCAAAGCATTAGAAAGTAGCTGTATCTTCTTTTGATAATATTTGTATCTTGAAAGCATTACAATGTGTCACGACTCACAAGTCTTAAGTTAAGAAAACTTAGGAGCCTCTTTGATTTAAAGGATTTTGCGTATGAATTCTTTCCATGCGGGTTGTTTGATTTGTTGGATTTTATCTTATGGATTTTTGCACTGCACATTCAAAGAAATTTTCTATGGAATATTAGGGGTAATGACTTCTGATGGTGATTTGGGAAAGGTATGCAATCTTGAGATTTTGTAAAATCTCTAATGCGTTCACTTTTCTTCATATGAATGCATTTTTGGTAATGTCATGCTCGCTGATGTTTGAGGTTGCTGATGCTATGTTTAGAAATCTGTTTTGTATGTCATGGCAAAGGAGACCTGGAAGAATGGATGTTTGAGCCTTTGAGGTTGCTGATGCTATGTTGAGTTAGCAGATTCAGGAGCTCGTGCCAGAATCTCATGTACTTTATGCTGTCAGTTCCACTGTTTTAGCTTGTTGCATACATGTGAGAAAAGTATTTGCACAATGGCTTCGTAGCCAGGTAAGATCTACGTAGCCTTTGCTGGTTGCTGGTCTATACATCTTCCTTTCATGTAACCCAGATTGCATTTTTTAGATAATAAGATAGGTTACAATTAGAATGTCGAACCGTTGGCTGGACATCTTGCGTCAGTCCTGATACCACTTAGAACAAGCGTGTATCTCTGGAGATTTTCTGAAATTTAAATGTGTACCTAACCAACTGAATATTATAAATGCATTTGTTACTTTTACTTGACACCATTGACACTCTGAAGTTTGCAGGGTTCAATCGACACTGCTATGATAGAATCTCGTATCAAGGTGGCAAATCCTGATGATCCTGAGCCAAACATTAATCTATATGTTGAAGATCAAACCAACCCAGCAATGCAGCTTGTATCTGAGATGATGATACTTTGTGGGGAGGCGGTGGCTGCTTTTGGTTCTGACAACGATATTCCTTTGCCATACAGAGGGCATCCCCAGTTTAATACAGCTGTCTCAGCATTTGCCTATCTACCGAAGGGCCTGCCAGGAGCGTTGCCAGTATCAGTGTGCCCTCGGGATTCCCGGCTATGTACAGTTCACCTCCCCCTATTCGAAGATACGTCGGCCTGGTTGCTCATTATCAGGTATTTTATGCACCTATTAATCACATGAACGGGGACAGGGTACAGTTTTGGAGGAACATTCCTAGTTAAATAACTGTCCTTTCGAATTGCCGTTTTTTTTCCTTGTGTTATAAATGGAGTGTAGTTTTATCCACACCATTGTAGCTTATCTGAATGACATAAATGTGATCTACTTAATTTTGTACATTGAAAAATTGCAGGTAAATGCTTTTCTTAGAGGTGAACCTCCACCATATTCGGCTGGTGATCTGGAAGGGTGACATTTATTGCGAGCATGCATGTTAAAGTAGCTAGGAAGCTCCATAGCAACAGCTTACGTTATTGGTTGCTGGAATACTTAAGGAGGCAGCCAAAGGGGAGGAAGCATAGAGCACTGATACTTAAGTTCATTAAAGATCGCATGGCAACATTGCTTTTGGTGGATGTAAGTCAACATGCCTTCATCCAGTAATTTATCTATTTATTGGTGCAGTATCTGCATAGCAGTACTCCCTCTGATACATATTACTTGTCGTAGCTTTAGTACAACTTTGTAGTAAAGCTGCGACAAGTAATATGGATCGAAGGGAGTACTATCTTTACTTTTGCTGGGATCATGAGTAAGAACTTTAGTTGTCCTGCCCCTTATTTAAAAACTGGACCAGTCTGCCAGTTCGACTGAGGAAGACCGCCTTGTTAAGTTTGAAGATCGTGTATGCAAGTTCACTGGTCAGAACTAGTTCCCCTGGGCATCAACCAATTTCCCTTCATTGATTCACCGTAGATTCTGAGAACCACCAGGTTCCTGGCTAATTTCAGGCAGATCAATAATTTTGGCCCGGTTCCATCTTTCTTCCCTTTATTCTTTCTGGTTCTAACTTTTTGACTACAGCCAACCAAATCCTTCATGCTGTGGAATGGGTAGACCCGTAAATGGGATGGTATATGCTAATCAGTTTGCTTAGCTGCTCATTTGAAAGCACAACTGAACTTGCTATTTTTTAGGAAGAGAATAACACTTGGTATGCAACCAAACATCTCCAAAGTTCCAAACTGACAAAATCATGTAAACAAGGGAAAGCCAACCTCCTGCTATTGTCAACTGGGGCTTGCCAATTTGAAGTTTTTCAAGATTGCATATTGAGTTACTGATTTTATGACTTATAGATTACCGCTCTCCCTGTCTTGATATTTTGAGCTCCTTATTCTAATCCCTTTTTTCTGGTCACATCGACAGGTCGGGATTCAGGTCACAACCATGGTTGCAGCCGGGAAAGTGGGAGATGAAGGGAGTGTCGTTGTGGAAATGGTTCATCCCCATGACGACATCTTATCAGTTACGGAGATTGCACAATACACGGAGGAGTAAATGCTCACAGAATGTTGGCTAAGTGGTGCAGAAGCCACCTCCGTACCCCCCGCGTCGCCTCCCCGAGCGAGGCGACCGGGGGCTGCCCTTCCCTGCCCCTCCCAACGGCCCCCCTCCTCCTTTCCCCTCCCGCCGCCGCCGGCGTAGGCCACCGGGCCTGGCTCGCGTGATGCCGCTGGCGGTGGCCCCGTTCTTTTCCTCCCCGCGCGGCGCTGTACCTCGGGCGATGGCGCTGGCGGCGGTGCACCCAGGCCGGCGTCGGATCTGGTGGCGGCTCGTCTTCGCAGGCGGCGCAGCTCCGAGTGGCAAGGTGGCGGTGGCATGGCTGCTTGGCTGCGGGGCGGCGCGATGGCTGGCGGCGGCGCCCTTTCGGCCCAGATCTGGGCCCTTTTGGGCCCCATCTGGGTCTGGGTGGGCCTGGCATGTGCTTTCCGGCATCATCTCCGGCGGACGGAGGTGTAGCTTGGGCTGGGGATGGCGGAGACGGTGGCGCGTGTACTACAGCGCAGCGACAGGAGCTTCACGAGCCCGCTTCGGGCTCGGCCGGGCAGGGGTGCCTGGTTTGCTCCTGAGCTACATCCGGTCGATCACCGCCGAGGGTGGTGGAGGTTGTCCCCTCCCATGTGGCCGCTGACCCTGCTGCTCCTCGTTTCCGTCTAGCTCCTCTCGATCCCGCCGGTCTCGCTTCGCTTGTCATGGTGAGACGGCGATGGTGACTGCGTGTCCGTGGTGGCGCATATTGGTGGACGACATGTATGGTGGAGCGCGATGGATCGTCTGGGGTCGTGGTTGATTGGAGGTTGGGAGAAATCCTTGTCGGCTTGTTCGACACCGACGCGGTGACGCCCGTGGGCGCCATCGTGCCTTCCTGAAGGGCGTCGGATATCCCCCATCCCTCCCACGGCCCTTCGCGTACCGGGGGAAACCCTAGGCCATGTCCGGTAGCAGCGTCGTTGTCGTCGCGTTCCTTCTTGAAGGTGTTACTTGGTATGCGGCGTTTCGTGGTGCTAGGAGTGTGGTGGAATTCTCCGGCGGGCGCAGCGGTTGCGAGTCAGCTTCGTTTTCGTTGATCCGCCGTTGTCGGCATTTTTTTTCCTTTTGTGTTTTCTCTTTCTTTTCTTTTGGGCGTGCGTGTGCTGCTTCCGCCCCAACACCTATCGTTGGTTGTATC